AGAAGAAGTGAAGAAGGAGAAGCAAATAAAAACAAAAAAACCCTAGTTTTAGTTGTTTACTACAAATATAATAGACAAAAAGAACATTAACTCGAATCTATGTCTAGTGTTAGTGTGCTTCTTTCCGTAATTGTTCCCACCCGAGTTCGATTCCTTTAGGTTTTTTATAAAAAAAAAATAAGAGATCAAAACGATGTTGTTTTAGTTTAACCAAATTTTTTTTTTAATAACAGCCACGTCACCAATCTTTAATGGAAAGTTGACTCAGTTAACGGTTTTGTGTAAAATGCCAATTTTTAAATACTTTATGTGGTAAATTCAAAAATTAATCTAGTTCATGTGTGTTTTGGCTTGACTTAATAGTTCAAATATAAATAATCAGCAACTACTATGTTTACGGGAGAATTGGCCGTTTTCCTGAGTAAATGAAGATGCAAAGATTGATTAACTTACTAAGGAAACTCAGATTTCAAAGGCTGTATAGAATTGATTGTTCTCGTCTCGGGTTTGGTGAACTAATGATGATTTGTCAAAGATTTGAAATCCTATGGTTTGTTGATTCTTTGGAGTGTTTTTGTGAGAGTATGCTTTAATTGATATTTGAAAAAACACATTAAATTAAATAGAAAAAACTGAAGATGCAATATTTTTTTGGGAAATATCTAAAAATGACCTACAATTTGATTTTAAATGGAAAAGTAGACCATTTATCTCTTGTTTGGCAAAAGTAACCCAATGAGGTAGTGAAATTATAATTATACCCCTTATGACCAAATAAAAAAAAACGGATACCACAATTACTGTTTTATTCCTCAATTGAAGTCTACTTTAGATATTTTATAGACTTCAATGGAAGTCTACATACTAATTATATATGAAATTTAAATTTATAAATTAACAAAAATTAGTTTGATTAAACATTTGTATTCATGACCAAAATATAAATAATTGTGATGTATGAAAATTAAAATTTCACAAATTGAAATAACAAAGATATATTAGGTTATAAATACCATACTAGTAGACTTCAATTGAAGTCTACTTACTAATTACATATGAAATTTAAATTTATAAATTAACAAAAATTAGTTTGATTAAAATTTTGTATTAATGATCATACTATAAGAAATTGTGAAGTATCAAAAATAAAAGTTCACAAAATTTCACAAATTATAAAAACAAAGATAAATGAGTCTTGAAAACTAAACATATGTTTTGATATTGATGTAGTGACATGTTGGTAGTTATTTTTGTTTGATATTTATAATTTCATGAGTTTATGTTGTAATGGCTTAGATTAAGGGATTTATATTTGGGGCCTTTTATA